ATTCGGGGTGATTCCGGGGTGTTCTACGGGGTTGGTTGTCAAGTTTTTTTGGAAATTCGGGGTGACTCCGGGGTGTTCGATGGGGTTGGTAGTCAAATTTTTGAAATTCGGGGTGATTCCGGGGTGTTCTACGGGGTTGGTTGTCAAGTTTTTGGAAATTCGGGGTGACTCCGGGGTGTTCGACGGGGTTGGAAGTGAGGAGGTCTACGGTGTAAAGAAAAGAAATATCCGTTGTAAATTGAAGGGGGCGTGGTCTTTGGAGGATTGGAACATTGTTGCGCCAGGCCGGAAGTGTGTAAGAGTCTATGGCGTGGTCGATATCTGATGGGACGTGTGGAGTGACGACGAGAGGCGGAATAAGATAGAATTCCGGGACGTGTCTTAAAATTCGGGGGTAGATTTGAGGAAGGGGGGGTGATAACTGGTGACCCATGTGCCTCACCAATATTTTGGGCTGAGGAGGGGAGGGTAAGCAAAGATTGATTGTGTCTGCTGCAGGTGTCGAAAGCGCCTTGGTGGGTGAGGACTGAAGGGTGGGAGATAATTTCTGGGTGTCTATTGCAAAATTCGTCGAACCACGCAATGTCAACGGTTGAAGTGGCGTGACAAAACTTGTTGGAGCGTGGGGGTTTCACTGTTGTGGCGAATACATGAAAAATTTGTTTGAGGTGAAGATGGGTGAGGTGGAGAAGTGGGGTGAGGAGGTGGGTTGGATCTATGTAAGAGAAAAAGAATCCGTTGTCGTTGGTTGTTAAAGAAAGTGTGATTGGCATATGTCGGCGTGGCGGCGTATGGCAACGGATGGCACGAAGACATTATAAGTATTTTTATTGTTGAGGCGGATCGGCTGGATGAGATTGCATTGATGGAGAGCCTGGGGTTGAATTTTGGGGTGGGGCTGGCCTACTAGTAGCCGGCACAGGACGTGAGGGAGTGGATGGAAGTGGTGGGGAAGGGTATGTTCGGGTAGAGTGGGGGGATTGGAGGAGTTTCCTCAGGTTGGATGGGTGGTTCGGCGTGATCTTGATACGTGGCATGACGCGGTTTTAAGACGCGGGAGATAGCGGGGGGAGTGAGAACAAGAACAAAGTTGGTACGTGTATGACAGGAGGCCGCTTTTGGGAGGGCGTGGAGGAAGTAAACGTAGGTTACCTGGCAGCGAATACAGATCACTTAAAGAAGGATGAAGATATGGTTATTGTTTCAGTATAGGGAAATGGGGTTCCAAATGCTGTGATTGGCTGACGGTTTTTATGGGCATCCGCCCATAAAAACAGGGCCGTGGCACAACTCAATTTTTCCCAATCTCAATTTCCCCATTACTTGGAAATCTCACTCCTTTCTTGGCACCAAAATCAGGTGTCTCCTTTACCATCATTCTTGCTGCCAAACTCGGAAAAGCTGAATAATTAAAAGATTATTTAATATCCTACAAATTAATTTTCTGACATCCACTCAATTACATAAATCGCTTCAACTCACCACAAGTTAAGCTCTAAGCTTCAACTCTCGGTAAGTAGTAAAAGAATTACTATTTTCTTTCAACAATGAACGGTGGGGACACAAATATGGTGGTGACACGTTCATTTTTACGAGTGATTTGGATGTTAATTTATTGCGATTTATTGGTACAGGTAACTGCTAAGGACAATTTTTCATCCATTAATTTTGCGACCTCTCTGCCGTGCCCCCACCAGAAATCTGTGTCATCGCCGGCCAACCTGGTAAATAACAACTTTAACTGGATTCTGCAACAATAAGGACCAAGGAACTTGTATTTCGTAATGTACTATATTTTATTGAAGTATAGACTCATCAATTACCATTAGTTGTTGTTCGTGACCTGGTAACAGTGTGAAATTGTCGGAAACTTCGTTAAAGTTTTACAAGATTCAAAAATAGTTTCTCATATAATGAACGGTGAATACACATATATGTACATTCATGTATGGTGAAAACACGCTCATTGTTGGAAATTAAGTTCCACTAAATTTATTTTTGTGAATTGCAGATATAATATTTGTGCCAATTGTTACTCAATATTGTGACCTATTGCCCCTTCCTCCACCAGATCCGTGTCTCCACCGGTCAATTTATCTGATCTATCAGTGTGCGTTTATACAAAGCAAATTCAAATTATATCTTCACACCCACTCTTTCGCTACCAATGAGCAGTCGATAACTAAAATGTATCAATTTTATTACAGGTTCACCTATTTGGCCAAACAAGGGTACTTAAATCAATTTGACTTCAATCAATTGGACTCAATTTGTCAAGACTATTAAAAAACTTTCAAAACTTCGCTTAAGGTAAATTTTATTTTGATCTTAAAAATAGTTTCTTTCGGCGGAGACACATTAATATGGTGGAAACACGTTCATTATTGCAAGCAACTGTTACATCAATATTTCCTTGTTATTTTGTTTAATTACAGACTCATCAATTACTATGAGACCTTGTTCGTGACTCGGGAATAGTGTGAAATTCTCAGGAACGTCAGTAAAGTTTACCAGGTTCAACCATAATATTAAAATAATAATTTCTTATCTCCAAAAATTAAAAAAAGCAACGAACGGTGGACACCCACATGTATATGGTGGAAACACGTTCATTTCAATTACAGACTTGCCTTCATATACTCAAATTCAGTGTGACTTTATCAAAACCTTCTTCAAAATCTTCTTAAAATAAACAACTAACGGTGGAGACACATAAATATGATGAAAACACGTTATTTGTTTCAAGCAGGTTTCAAATTACTAATTGCTTGTTATTTTTCGCAGGAAATCCAGTTGCTCAAAACATTTATTTGAATTTAATAAACCGTCGTTTGTCACGGTCCGAAATATAAAGTGTTGCGGTACTAATTGTGATAATTCTTGAAACCAAGAAAATCGTAATTACTCCTTTCTGTTCAAAATATAAGGAGAGAGATGCTCGACTGTTGGAGTATTTTCAGCTACTGATTTATTAAACGCAGCTCATTGTCATACATATAAGATCATCATCTAAGTCATTCAACTTTTCATGCATGCATTTATCCACCCATAATATTAGGTGGTCAAGTATGTGCAATGATGCACATTTAGCGACATAATTCATATTATAACATACACAATCAGGGTTATTTTTAACACTCCCTTTAACAATTATTTACGTATGAATAATAATATGATTGCTTGGTCCATTGATCTCCTTGAGAGGCTGCTCCTCAGCTTGGCGTTGAATCCGTTTAGGACACATATTGCATTTCTTGACAAGAAATACTATTGCACACAGAAAAACTACTAGTGAAAATAATATCCCTAAAATTAACACTGTTATTTCTGATGCTGTCCAATTGTCATCGCTGAATGAGAACACCTGCAGATTCCTGGCTTCTTTTTGAATCCGTTCGTCATTTGTGTTCCAGATTTCATTTAAGTCTTCACTTAAATGACTCCAATTGACTCGCGGATTCAAGTGCCAGTTTACGAGTTCAGAAAAAAGATGATCTTCTCGCTCTTTATAGACGACACGTAATATATTTCCCTTGAGTTCAACCTCGTTCAGAGTGAATGTCAAAGATAATGGCAATGTGAATACTTTGTCTGGACATTTTACTCTCCTCTTGCCCACCAAGTACTCTCCTCCTGGACAATATACATGATAAAGACTGTCAAGTATTTTTACTTGTACAAACTCTTTTTCATCTCCAATTGCCGAAATCTGACACTTCTCAATCTTATAGAGTTTTCCTCCGTTTGAGAAGGACGATTCATTTCGACACTTGTTTGAAGTCGTCATTTCAATGTTGTTGTGAGCTTTTTCATAATAAGTCTCATATACACATTCTTCTCCCACATGCAATGTGGCAACAGTCGGGCCTGAGTATTCCATACGACAGGTTAAATTATCTCGTTTCAACATTAAGAAAAACGGATCTGCTGTTAGTTTAGTGAGATTTTTGTTCACTATTGGCACCGAGAAATCCAAATTTATTTGAGTTCTCTCCTTGTTCATTTGGCATAAGTGAAATATTCCAAACTCCACTGGACACTCGTCTCCACAAGGCAGAGTGAAATTCAGATATTCCAAAAGGTCAGGAGTCATTTGTTTTTTCTTCCATGCTTTTTTCGTGTCCCAAATCACTTTTCTCCCCTCAACCAATTTACTTGTGAGGTAAGAGATTAAATATTGTATGGTTACAACTCCTTCCTTAAAGTTGTTTAAATCATTCATTGTTTGCTGGACTTGGTAACCAACTTTAATTATCTCCATTTTTAGAATTTTTATGTGCTGACGGTCTTCATAAACTTGTCTTTCAAGTTTATTGAAAGCAAATTCTAGTTCGTCTTGTCGAGTTTCTAGTCGGTGTGTCTCTGCTATTGCATAACTGCCCAGTCCGATCCCAGCACTTCCAACACAAGCGACAAGAATAAATCCCACAACGACAGGAATTACTCTTTTTTGTCTTCGCCTCCCTTGTGGTGGAGAGCAAATATCTTCTAATTTATTTAGAAATATTTCGTCATATGCTTTTTCACATTGTTTTTTCATGATGTTTGCAATTCTGGGTTCCAAATCATCCAATGGCAAAAATTCGCATGGTGAAATTAAAGCGATTCTCATATTTATCTAATAATAATATTTATCTTTTATTTATGAAATCCGATCACCACTGGTTCATAGCTCTTTCTCCACAAAACAGGACTTCCCTCTTTGTGTAAATCGGTTGCTCCAATAGTTAAAAATGAGAGCAATAAAGCCATAAAACTCCACAATAAACTGGGTCGCTTTGGGTTGACAATAACACTGCACAGTGCTCTTCTCTTCTCTCCCTTTGCAGGAGGAGGAGGGACCATTCCCATCAAATATCTTTTCGTCTCAAACGACTCCCTCACCACTGATTTGGTTAAAATATCAGCAGGTTGAACTTTGTCAGGCAAATGCTCCAATACGACTTGGTTTGTTTCAACCAGATCTCGGATGAAGTGATGCCTAATGTCAATGTGTTTTGATTTGTCGTGGAATTCGTCATTTTTCGCCAGTCTAATTGCACTCTGGCTGTCCGTTTTTAGACAGGTAGGTTCATTTTCCAGTGAAATCATATCTAGCTCTAAGTATAATCTGGTTACCCAGACCGCTTCTTTTCCAGCGAGAGCTAAAGCTACATATTCAGCTTGGCAACTGGATAAACTTATGCAGGTTTGTCTCTTACTCATCCACACGATGGGAGAGTTGTTGTGAGTGAATAATACACCCGATGTTGATTTCCGTGAAGTTGTGTCGGAGCCGTAATCTGCATCTACGTACACACAGACGACGTCTCGGTCTGCCTCACTTTCAGTGTACATAATACCAAGAGATTTTGTCCCTTTTAGGTATTGCAGGATTCTTTTTGCTGCATTCATATGTAGTTTGTTGTAGCTCCCAAAAAACCGGGATAAATAATGCGTGGCATACGCAATATCTGGTCGTGTACATCGCACTAGAAATAATAGTGAACCAATGAGTTGTTGAAACTCTAAATTTGGGTCACATTCACTCCCGTCAAACTGCAAACCAGGCTGCATAGGAATTGGTAGTGTGATGCAATCTTGCATTCCAAATCTCTCAAGCAAATCCTCGATATACTTGGTCTGGTTCAAGAATATTCCTTCCCCCACTTGTAAGATTTCAATGCCGAGAAATCTGACAAGGGGTTGAATTGTAACTTTGAATGAAGCTTTTAACTTCTCAATTTCTGCAAGCAACTCCTTTTTGTTTTTACCAGCAAAGAGTCCATCGTCAACGTATATTACTACGTATATTTTTCCCGTGGATGTTGTTTTCATAAACAAGCATTTGTCGCTTTTGGATTGTACATATCCCATTTCTTTCAGCTTTGCGCTAAATGTCTCGAACCAAGCCCGTCCTGATTGTGGCAGTCCGTATAAGGTTTTGTCCAATATGTAGACCATATCAGATCCGATTTCATAACCTTCAGCTTGTTCCATGTATACTTCTTCTTTTAGTTCTGAATTCAAGTAAGCTGTTCCTATGTCGAATTGTACTAATTTTAATTTCCTTGCTGCTGCTACAGACAACAAAGTTCTGATCGTCTCATATCTGCTAACTGGTGCAAATGTTTCAGTGTAATCTACACCTTTGACTTGGTTAAAACCCTTCACCACTAAGCGTGCTTTAAATTTCTCAATTTCACCGTTTGGATTGTGCTTAATTTTATAAACCCACCGGTTTTTCAGCACCTTTTTTCCTACGGGTCGTTTTACAAGTCTCCATGTTCCATTTTCAGAATGACTTCTCATTTCAGAATCCATCGCCTCCTTCCACTCTCCAGCATATTTAGAGCTGAGAGCTGCTGAATAAGTTGTTGGCTCGGTGTTTGTTGCGTGCATAGCTACATTTGCGTCACCGCTGCCGGCTTGATAAAACTTCCTTTGTTGCCTCTCCCTTTTGGGTTTAGAGGAACTGGGCTGTGGTGGGAGGGAGGTGTACACAAAATTACGGTCTTCTTGTGATGCTTCCCATTGTATCTCATCTGCCCATGTTTCGTTGTGCTGATGAACTTTGGGGTTAGTTTGCTGCGGAGAATTGCTTGCTGACGAATAAGTCTCAGCTTCTTCACCCTCTGTCTCACTTGCCCCGTCTGTTTGTTCAGTTTCATCATTTCTTACTTCTTTGGTAGAAAATGTAGTAATAATCTCATCAGGTTCATCGTTAGTAATGCTCTCTCTTCGAGAAGCATTTGTTTCGATAAAATTCACATGTTTAGCTTGGTAGTGATATTTTCCTTCCGCTGGATCATACAAAATATAGTTCTTTGAATGCGCATCAAAACCAACCAAAATGCATTCTGTAGCTTTGTCATCGAATTTCTTTCCTTGTCCATTTGTTATGTGAGCGAAAGCTTTACTCCCAAAAATCCGAACATGCTGTAAAGTAGGTTTCTTTCCTATAACTTGTTCGTATGGAGTTTTTTCTGTATTTTGTGTACTCAAGGTTCTGTTGAGTACGTAGCATGCAGTTCGGATTGCATCCTCCCAGTGCGATTCATGCAGCTGACTTTGGATCAGCATTGACCTCGCTGCATCTTGTTCGATTCGCATTTCACGTTCTACGAATCCATTACTGGGACTGCACTGAGGTGAGTTGAGACCGAATCGTATTCCTCGTTTAGAGAAGAAGGATACCAATTTTTGGCATTTGTACTCGCCCCCATTATCCGATCTGAACATCTTCACGTTATTTCCGGTCTGAGTACGCATGAAGTTAATCGCATCTATAACATTCATTGCGGTTTCACCTTTTTTCTTTTGGAAATTTACTTGTCTAAAAGCTGATGCTTCGTCCTTTACTACAAGGAAGTACGAATTTCCATTTTTCGAAATTGCATTTGCATAACCAAGATCGGAATGTAAGCATTCTCCTGGCAAATACTTTACAGTTTTTTCAACTGTAACGTAACTCTTCTTCTTGGACTTTGCTTTCATGCATATTTCGCACTTGAAATTCAC